GTTTAAGTAGAAACCAGACAACCAATTAGTTTATTTCAGTTATTTTTAATTATAAAATTGCTACGTGAGCCACTTAAATTGTTTTGAGTAAAAAATATTGTAACTTGTTTAAACCTAGTTCAAGGCTTGAATTTATTTTTTGTGCAATATATATTAATGTATTTGGTAATTGTAATAAATACTCGATTGTTTTGAATTTTTGCATTAAAATTTTAAAAAACAATTTATATCCTTTTAATTTAAATTTAACTTATTAATTAAACTAATTTGATAAAAAAATTATGTACAATGATACATAAAATTTAATATTTATTTTTTATTGCCAAATATATACCTATAATAAATTTTCAAAATAAAAAAATGAAATGACACAATTAAATATTTATTAAGTGATTAAAATTTTAACATACTTGATATATAATAATTCTATTTTTAATTTTTTGTTAACATATTTTTAATCAAATGTTTAACAAATCAACTACATAAATTATGTTTTAAAATTTCTGAATTACATAAAATAATATTTTAATAATTCAATATTAAATTAAAATATATATATATATATATATATATATCATTTTAAAATACTTTATCATGATATAAAAATATTTTCTCAAATTCGATTTTCTAAATTTACTTTATCAAATTTTATTAACTTATCATTGGTAATGCATAGAAATGGAAATATGAAATTGATACATATTATAATTTCATAAATATGAATTTATTTATTATAATTAATTTTTACTAATAAAAATTTATTGATTGATTATATATATATTAATTTTTTTTTGAAATTATTTGAACTAAATACTCAACAAAAAATATTTTTAAACACTTACATTGATGTATAACTTATATATTTAACTTAAAATGAACTTAATAATATAATCAATTCTAATAAGTATTTATTTTTTCATTAATATTTTGAAAAAATAATTTTTATATCATATGCATAATTCTACATTATCTTTGCATTTCTATTAATAGCATATGATTTATAAAAATATAAGTGCAATCAAGTGCAAAAAAGTGATCTAAGCATATACATTTTTTGTGCAGTTAATAACATACACATATAGAGGAATGTTAAATAGACCCATGCTTTTATTAAACAAAACCACCTTTGATGAAGAATATGGTAATTATGATGAATGTGTTTGGTTTTTATTGGTTGCAGATCCAATAGTGGAGAAATGAATCTAGAAGTCATTTTTCTTTTCTTTACATTTTCATGATTGTTTGGACAGATGGGTCAATTTAGTAAAAACTTGGGTCTATTTAACATTCCCCTGTATGTATGTAAGTATCTATCACTATCCATGTGTCTACATATAGATAGATAGATATTATCATAAATAACAATGATAATTATAATGAATGTATGTGTCATGTTACTGACCCCAGTGGCACTTGTCTGTGCAATGGTTACTGCCATTGTAAGAACCTTATTATGCAACACAGAATGAAACAAGATTGTAGTCTGCATGTGCAATCAGGAAAAGATCAACAAGGGTTCCAGGTTGGTTAGCATTTTAGGTTCCATCAAATCCACACCATTGCTAGGTGCAGAAAATCGCAATCTGGTTGCTGCCATCATGCAATTGTGCATTGTTTGCTAGAAACCACAGAAATTGTAGACTGCATGTGTTTGTCTTACTGGGGGATGAAATGCATTTCTTTTATGTTGTAGAATTAGTTGTGATTGATGCTGATGATTTTGGACCTCAGTCTACCAGATTCAAAGTAGAGAAAGTCAAACAAATTCACAATCCTCATTCTATTCTCTTCTGCTCACCTTCTTTGCATATATAGACTGTTAAGATTGTATTAACCTTCAAACTGTCCAAACTGCATTTTATTACATAGACATTGAAGTCTTGTAGTACAGCTTGTATTTCTGAGTTTAATTTTTAAAATTCTTATTCAATAGTATAATTTGAAAATGAGAATCTGAAAAAGTAATAAAGTAAAAAAAGTTGTAAGTTAAAATTCTTGATTATGATCTCAAACTTTATTTAATAAAATATAATGAATTTACTGTTGATCTATTGTAATGATCAATGCACCTTTTCACTGACTGGATTACAAAATTTATCTGTAGTTAATGTCACTCTATTGCAAAATCAAATTGCAATTTTACTTTTCATTATATTTCCAGATACTTTCAAATTTGAATTCATCTCTCTCTCTCTCTCTCTCTCTCTCTCTCTATATATATATATATATATATATATACGTGTATACATTTCGAAGATACCAATCATGTAATTGTTAAGCATACTAAAAGTTTAATATGTCTTTTCAATATACCTTTCTTCTAATTGTTATTTCGTAATGTTTTTAAAAATCAAAGGTGATTACATACATATATATAAAAAAAATCAAACTACATAAAGGTAGTTTTATTGAGGAAAAAAACACCCATGTTTTAAAATTCAAAAAAAATGAACGTAAAATCAAAGTTGAAAGCATGAAAACCATTCTCAGAAACAAGTGCACAGTTGAACAAATTTCAGAATCTGTGTGGGTGGTTTTGATGTATATATTAAAGATCTAAATATAAATATAAACATATGTGTATGCAAAGAAACAAATATCTAAACTTAACATATAAAATATAAATTGATAAGCGAAATGATAATACTCTATGATTAAAATTAAAAACTTAATATGATTGCAATATTGTAAAGAATTCTTCATGTTGCTATAATGGAATAATTATTTATTAAAAAAATGAATTGATATGTGATTGTTGATTCAATGTATGATTGACTTAAAATTTAAGATGAGACCACACTACTTTTTAATAAGTTTTTTTTGGCTTTAAAAAAGAATTCATAATTGCTGATTCACAACTGGAAGTTCTGAAAGGTTCACAGTGTGTGTATCTATACAAATGTATATTTAGTGTTACATCACACAACTTCCAAGACTGATTTTTTGACAATATTACAATCTTTCAATAATACGCTATTTGAAATCACATTTTTTTCTTCTTTCAACATACGTGAACTAGACCAACAATTATTTATTATTATGTGCATTCCGAACATTTAAAAATAAAATATGACTTTTTTACAAGGAATAATGCAAACTATAATTTGGAAAACTCAGTGATGATACATTGATCCATTCATGTATTGAGACATGCAAAGAATATCATTGAATTTTGCATGCAAATTTTAATTTTAAGAAACTATTTGCATTCTATTGATTTTTTACATTTGAAATGAACAATTTTGTTTTGTATTCTAAATTATATTCTAGAAAAATATATATATATATATATATATATATGTATGATACGCTTTTTAACCAAATGGTTGTAAATGTGTACATGTATATGTATAAGCATTGCAGCCCCTTGCTTTGCTTTTGGAGTAATATACTAAAGCAATGGACTTAATACATTCAAGAGAATCTAACTCACAAATTGGGAGAAATGACTCAAAATCTGCTCAGGTATTGAATGTCTTTCTTTTTCAACCTCAATGTAAATCTTCTAGTTTAAATATCTCCTTCTTGAACCATAAATTTATATGAATATAAGAGATCTTAGTAATCTATCAATATACAAAAGAAAATTTTCAATCTAGTTTGTATTTTGCTTGAAATCTAGAAAGTCCTCATTAACCTTCAAAACCCAATTTTTGAGACCTTAACTCATTTGAACCTCAATTATTTTTGATTTGATTGTCCAATTAAGCTCAAATTCACAACATATATTTAACACAACTATGTTTATAAATTCAAAAAATTTCACTTATAAATTTGCTAAAAACCTCAAATAATTTACCAAAGTATGATCCCTTTTTATTCAACTTGAAATAGGGTCATCTAAAACAATCCAAACTTTGCAAAGCTCTCACAAAGTCAATATACATTCAAATCCCTCAAAACTAATAATCATAGAAATCTTATTAAGTTTTCTTTCAAAATCTACAATTCAATCAATAAAAATGAGCTCTTTTTACAAAAGACAACATTAGCAATTATTAGTTTTATTACCTCCTTAACTATTATCTATGATTCTAAGATAATTTGCTATTATTTTTTTAAATGAGCTCTTGTATAATATAATACTTTTTTCTCTCTTTTATCTAATAGATGTGTTACAATACAACAATGTTATCTATTTTACATTCTTTACAATCTAGTTGACTTTAAAAAAAACTTTGATCCATTTGTATTGTTTAAGATAGAGTATTAGAGACCATGTCAAGAATTCACATACACAATATAATGAGAAAACAAATTGAGAAGAAAGTTGAAAAAATAAAATCAAAGAAGAAAACTCTCAAATCTACAAAAGTAGGATTCCACACACAACAACTTCAATCCTAGAGAAGAAAAACTTAATACAACAAAAGTCAAATATTCAATTTATTGTGTTGGCTTTGTCCCTGCAAATCCCTGCAAATCCCTGCAAGGAGTGTTGTACCTTTATCCTGCCAATTGATTGGTCGGTGGAGCCACTATAGGAGGGGGTTGCCACCCCTTTAACCCCTTGTATTTGTTGCAAGTATGAATTAGGCTCTACACAATAACAAACCAAATCTAATAATATAAAACTTAGGGCTTGAAGTTGTTTGTATAATATAGATCCACTTTAGTGCAATAAAAAAATCAGTTGAGGTGAATAATAAAAGCAAACTTGTTCCAATGAATAAAGTATAACTTTCCTTTTGGACACAAGAAATTATTCAGTTCTCATGAGAATTGTTGCACCCGCTTGAGGGTGACAGTGTGAATGAGACACAATGACTTCCAGCGCAAAGCTTGTATGCTGACTTGGTAGTGGTTGGCTTGTGCCAACTTAAGTTGTTCAATGGTTAGTTGAGTTTAATTGAGTTTCATTGCTATTCTCCAATTTTGCCAAAAAAAGGGCCTACAAAAGATCAACACAACTAGGATCAACCAAAATCAAGGCGCTTTTGTAATAATGGGAATCAATAATAACTTTTCCACATTGCATGGAGATGGAGAGTGAAGGCGGAACGTCCAAGGCGTCGACGCTGTGGATTCCTCCGGCGTTGCAACATCTCCTCCTTGCCCTCGCTTCGCTTGCTCCCACTTGTCTCGCGACTCAGCTCTCGCTGTCGCCCTCTCGCTTGCTCACTCTCTCAGGCTCGTTTGCAGTCTTGCCTGCTCATCCGATACTCAAGCGGTGCTTCGTTGTGTTTTGCAGAGGGAGGGAGGGAGTGACGAAGAAAGGAAGAAACGGAGAGTGAGAGAGCATCACGCTCTACGGTAGCCACCATGCATCTCCTCCTCCTCCTGCCCCTCCGCCGCCGCTGCACCAACCCCATTGCCCCACGCATTGCTCACCAGTCTCGCTTCCTGGTGAGCACTGCCGGAGCCTGCTCTCCCCTGCCTCGTCATCTCCTCTCGGGGATATGGGGCCGGTGTCTGAGCTCGCACCCTAGCCCCATAGAGGACGCGGATGAAGCCAGGTGCGTAGCAGAGAATGTGGCTGATGCATTGGACGTTTCGTATCCTACCTACATGGTGTGGGGGAGCAATACGGGAGTGGGCAAAACGCTCGTTAGTGCAGGTTAGTGGCTATCGGAGGATCTAATTGAATCCCCCCCCTGTCGTTATGTAGTGGAGCATTGCGGTTTCGACAGGTGTGATGTAGCTCGTTGTTACGGAATCTGGTGTCCCAATTGGTCCCCATGTAGGAGACCGTGTGCTGAGATGTGCGAGTGGTTTTTAGGATTATGTTCTGCAATCCTTCGTCTGTCCAAATGCCAAGGCAATTCTGGAGCCAAAGATTTGCTCTACCTCAAGCCCGTGCAAACAGGATTCCCGTCTGATTCAGACGCGCGGTATGTCTACCAGGAGGTTTCTCGAGTTGGGCGATTGCATCCCGAGGCCATTTCAGAAGGTTTGTTCTTGTGTAACCACACCCTACAAGTATCGCCTGCCGTGCAGATTTCCGCTCGTGCGGGAGCCAGTGTTCCGGTGCAGCCACAATCTGCTTGGAATGCAGGGGGTCTTTCTTCCAGTCTAAATGGCACAGGTATGCTTCCGGCACAATTAGAGCGATTTCTTTTAAAGTTATAATTTGGGATTTGCATTCACATTGCCATCGCCGTGAGCAGTAATTTGCAGGGCCTTTGACACTTTTTTGTTTCCTACTGTGCGGCTACGCTCTTAAAACACAGCTTGATTTCCAAGAGCTAAGGTTTTTCAGGAATGAAAGATTTCTGCAGCTACGAATCACAGTTACTGCAAGGTGTGAAATCCAGGAATATTCCCGCAGACGGTGATGTTTACGGAAGAGCACAACTTCGAAACACTCTATCACGCTTCACTTGCAAGACAATGTGGGCATGGTACGAGCCTATTTCCCCACATCTTGCAGCTGCAAGGGAGGGTTCAACTGTGCCCGACACTATGGTTGTTGAGGCTATCCAACGTTCACTTCAGGCTCTCAGCAGTAGTCGAAAGACCAGCGGACATCGAGAGGATGCAGGTGATTGTGCAGAGAAGTGGGCGATATTAGAAACTGCCGGGGGGGTTGCTAGCCCTGGACCATCCGGAAGCCTGCAATGCGATATGTACAGGTATTGAACAGACCATGTGTTCTCTCGTCGAGTTATATTTTTTCATGGCTATCTCTTTAGCGTGCAATGAATAGACGAGCTTCTCATCCATTGGTTATGAGGTTTAGGGTTTAGAGTAAATTCTGTTTTTGGATTTCCGAAAGCTTTGGTATTTTATTGACAGTGCACTTGATACAGATCGCTTAGGTTTTCGGGTTTACTGGTCGGGGACGGGAGGTTGGGAGGCATCTCAACCACTATTGCAGCCTATGAGAGCCTGCGGTCCCGCGGTTATGACATTCCAGCTATTGTTATCGTGGACTCAGGATTGAGCAATGAAGAGCCTGTGCTGCAGTACCTACGACACAAGTAAGAGGATATGATACAAATTAATATCGGGGAGATATTCCTTGCAATTTTCCAATTTTTATTATTGTGTCACGTTGACTATGCTGAAAGGTCAGGGGTTAAGATTGGTGTGATTCTGTTTCTTTGCATAGGATACCGGTTGTTGTTCTTCCTCCCCTACCTGAAGATCCGAACAAGAGGCTTGAGGAATGGTTTCGCCTCGCAGAGGGAACGTTTCTTGAGTTAATGAATGTATTGGAAAATTCCCATTCCAAGAGATTAAGGCGGCTTGAGGAGATGCCCAAAATGGCAGGAGAAATTTTATGGTGGCCCTTCACACAACACGACCTAGTTGCCCAAGATTCCATCACGCTCATTGATTCAAGATCAGGGGAGAACTTTTCTGTCTACAAGGTGGGATTGCTTTGAAACGTTATGATAGTGTCATGTATATGAAGTTGCTGAAACCCTTGGGACTCTTTGTGTATACACTGATTCTATTTGGCTCCGATGGAGAGTCCAAGTCTAACTTTGATCCCACGATTATAATTTTCCATGGTCGGTAGTCTGGAACGCCTTCAACCGGTAAGACGATTGCGACGCAGTTTGATGCATGTGCAAGCTGGTGGACTCAAGGCCCTGATTCTATCTTGCAGGTAACGTATCGACACGTATGCTTGTTGGATTATGTTTCGTCCTTCTTGGATCTGCACACAACCATGAATTGCAATGGTTGAATTCTGCTGATAATCGTAGTTGCCTGCTAGCTTTAGAAATATCTTTGGCTTCTAAGCAATGGTTACATTAATTGTGCTCAGCCCGAGATAGCCAGAGAAGTAGCTTACACTGCGGGAAGGTATGGTCACGTCATGTTTCCTGAAAATGTACATGAACCTGCTTTGCGGTGTGCTGAAATTCTTCTCGCAGGGGCAGGCCGAGGTACTATTCTATCTCGCACTCTTGGCAAATTTACAAAATCTTTTTGAGAACATTTATGGAATTCCGTTGTGGGCGTATTTAATTATATAGCATCCCCCTGTTTCAAGTATGCATTGTTAAGCTTTCATGCTGAACGTCCAAGTTGCTGTGGTGCATACTTGTCAGACGTATAGTCTTGTTTTGATATATGCTTGCACTTATGAACAGGATGGGCAGAGCGGGTGTTTTTCTCGGACAATGGATCGACGGCTATAGAAGTTGCTATTAAAATGGCTTTCCGAAAATACATTGTTGACCATGGTCTTAGCGATCCCTCTACCATCGAGCGCCGAGGAGGGCAATTGAAGGCAAGATATTATTTCTGCTGCTGCTTAGAGACTTTTAGGATGTTTGTATGCTTAAGAGACACCCTTAAAACGTCTTTAAATCAATCAGTACCAAGCTTGTATGTCCAGGTTTTTCTCGTGGGTACCTTCTGGAGCGCGCTCCAGAAACTTCCATAACATGTTGAATGATATAGGAAGAGAGTAGTTCTTTTCACCAGAGCTTAGCTATTGATAGAAGTTATATATGTCACTACAGCTGACGTAAGACATGTACCATTCAAAGCAGGTTGTAGCTCTAAAAGGATCCTATCATGGGGACACACTAGGTGCTATGGAAGCACAAGCGCCTTCAGCTTACACAGGCTTCAAGCAACAACCATGGTAAAATTCATTCACGATATATAGTATGAACTTTTGAGGATGTATACTTGTATAAATAGTTGTTTTCACTCATATCCTAAAAGAAATTTAGCGGTTGACAAATGTTTTCACTCAACATCGTATTTGCTTGTTTGTTATGAAAAAGAAAATCACAACGAAAGAATCTGACCTTTCTGCTGGAAACAGGCATGTAGGGAGAGGTTTTTTCCTGGAGCCACCTACCGTCTTTCAACGACAGGGTCGTTGGCATCTGCAACTTCCACGTGTCTTCCACGATAGTGATTCTTCTGATTCTGCTTCTTGTATGTCAGCACAACTTTGTCTATGTCGATGCAACTCGTTTTTTAAGCTTGGCGATGATACGTGGATATGCTGTGTGGCAAGTGCAGTAGATGAAACGCCGTTTGAATGAAACAATCATGGGATAAAACTATGTTACTGATTTTCATCTGTCGACACCATTGAAGCAGGCTGGAAATCCAGGGACGAAATTTTTGACATTTGCCGAGATTCCACACCTCTTGCCAACCTCTACATCAGATCTATTAATCAGCAACTTGCTGCAGCAGTTAGAGAAGAGAATAATGTCCCAGCTGCATTGATTATTGAACCTGGTGGGACTAGTTTGATGTTGGGATATCTTTTTGGTGAGATTGTTTGAAAAATGTTTCTTAGTGATTTTATAGTATACTATCCGCGCTCTGATATTTCTATGTGGTATGTTTCTGGGACAGTGATGCACGGAGCGGGAGGAATGGATATGATAGATCCCTTGTACCAGCGGATGCTTGTCCGTGAATGTCGCCGCCGTGGCATACCAACCATTTTTGACGAAGTCCTTTCTGGTTGCTGGCGATTTGGTGTAGAGGTTTGTGTATTGCTATGCTTATTTGTGTTCATTGGTTATCGTCTGCACATTTGAATACATACACCGGAAGGATTGTTCCTCATCAGTCTCTACTGGTATTGTCAGTCTGCTGTAGATCTACTGGGCTGCAGCCCCGACATAGCATGTTACTCAAAACTACTTTCGGGGGGTTTAGTTCCTCTCGCTGCAACACTTGCAACTCAGGCTGTCTTTGAAGCCTTCCGTGGCATCTCTAAGGTGGGATTCAATTTTCTTTTATGAAATTTATCTCCTTGATATTTTACCTTGGTTATGTTCGATTTCACAGGTCACTGTGCTAGTTTTCTAGCAACTACATAGTACATTTTGTGCACCCAAAAAGCACGTCATTGAGTTGAGTACTTTCGACTGAGTGCTTTACATGGGTAATGCTTAGAAGGTACATTAAGCTGGGTTTCGTCTTAGAAAGGTGCTAGAAACTGCGTGCACCATATTGACGATATTCGATGTATGGGGTTTGTGTGGATGCAGTTAGATGCTCTGTTACATGGCCACTCGTATACAGCTCATGCTGTTGGCTGCGCAAGTGCCGTTGTGTCCCTTCAATACTTTTCCGATCCCTCAAAAAATTCTAATTTGTTACCAGGAGGGCGCCGCCTGAGGGAGGTGAACATCTCATCGTTCAATACTTGCTAGTCAGAAATTATTTAAGTCATGTTTTTGTACCTGCTGAGTGGACCTTCCCTTGCTGTAAATCTAGGATCTATTTACCTTCACGAGGTTAGTTCAAATTTGTGGATCAGACTTGTCTGAACTAAAGGTTGTGTGGCAGCTGTGGAAACCAGAATTAGTGTCACTTATATCGTCACACCAGTCAGTGGAAAGAGTGGTGTCTGTGGGGACAATCTTCGCACTGGAACTCCGTGCTAATGCAGCAGAATCAGGGTACGTGCATCCGGTTGACTTGACTCGACAGTTCTGATTAAGGTGTATGTGGATTTGAGTTGAAGTGCACATGAAACTCGATGCTCCTTAAACGACAGTAGTAGCTATCTTCCGACTTAATAATTGAGCCTTTTACTAATTTAGAATATTACCTCAAGCACATCAGTTTTGAATTCTCTGTTCACATTCGACACCAAAAGATCGTTTCACTATCCAGTTACGATTGCTTTAACCTCAAGAGTATCCATGACTCGTTCCGCTCTGCAGATATGCCTCCATGCTCTCAAAAGAACTTGTGGAAAATCTTCGACAAGAAGGCATCTACACCAGACCACTGGGAAATGTAGTGTACCTCATGTGTGGGCCACTAACACAACCCAAAACGTGTACCACGATGTTGGAAAAGTTGCTTGCTTTACTTGGCTAGACCGAAGCAGCACATTTGCTCGAGGTGTTTTGGAAGCGAGTGCTGAAATTTGTGGACACTGATGGTTAATGATGACCAGCAGAAAGGACGTGACGTGATGTGACCTGGAGGAAGCTATGGCTTTGTAGTAGAGACTTGAAATCTTCTTAATCTACTTCAAGTAATTTCTGAAGAAGCATACTTGTCACCTCCCAAATTGGATTTATCGTAGCAATGAAAAAGCAGACACAAATGAAAGTGTAACCTCCATTGTTCTGAGACGAAGTGGATGTCTCCTCCTGACATCTTATCCGAGTCCGAATTCGGGGTACTCGGTCACACGATCGCCTGTGTGGACTGCTTTTTATCATGTGAACAATTCATTTCAAATTTCATTGCACAGAACTATCCAGCTGCTCAGGCATTCGGTAGTGTTTGAGGTAATTCTGGGGAACATGCTTTTGATGGTTTTCAGTTTTGCCCTACTAAGAATCTGGTGAATAGTAGGTGCTTTCACTGAACTCATACTGCACCTTTCGACGAAACCGTCACTCTTGCATGAATAATGTTTTATGATAAATTTTTTTGTGGTTTTCTGTTTGTTGTTGTTATGTCTTATGGTTTTGGTAGGTTTCAAATTAAGTCAAATTCCAATGCAATAAATGTGGTCAAATTCAACAGTCAGATTTGACACATAACTTTACTTCCAAACTTCCACGTAATTTTGTACAAGATAGAATTCAGGAAAAAGAAATTTCCATGAAAATGTTTAGTTATCAATGAATTACTTCCAATACAACTGAATTGTGCAAAATTCTTAGATTATGTTTTTTAAATTATCAAGTGTTTTTACAGACAATATTTTTATCAGTGGTTGAAAATCTTGTTGTGTGAAGGTTGGTGAACCATATATTATCACAATTATTATTCCTTTTGGCCATGCAAATTGTCAATGTCAGCAAAACTAACAAAACTAAGATTTAGAAAAGAGATACATGCATCGATGCTTATTGAAGAATAAAACCACAAGATATGGTTTTGTTGAATTAATAAAGCTGGCTCATTAATACTGAAAACAATTATTAAAATTGACTTCATTTTTACAAAATAGTAATTTTAGAAATATATAATATTAATGGTGAAAGTCATGAATATTTAAAAATAAAATAGATATATAATTAATAAAAAACATATTGTTTCCTTATAAATCAAAAATATTGATATATATATATATATATATATATATATTCAATTTTTTATTTTAAAACTACAAATTACAATATAATTTGTAAAAATAAAATAAAATAATAATAAGCTACAATGGAGTCTTTTTTGGTATACTTGGAAGACTTTTACATAAAAACATAAGTTTGTGGATATATATATGATTAAAAAATTATTTATAAATATATTTAAAATTCTCTTTTTAGTACTGGATTTCACATATTATATTTATTTATAATTTACTTAATGAATTTCACAAACTGCCATCTTTTCTCCTTAGTATAAAATTAATTTTATTCTTTGGTTACTTAATTAATTGACTTATTCTAATATATTAGATAATACATAGTGGAATATTTCACTACTAAAATTATCTTTGAGGTGCACTTGTAGAGAATAGATGTATTTTGAAATAGATGAATTATTCATAATATATGAATGAACCTAAACCCAAGCATAACAAAGACAACCATGTGTTGAGAGTTTTATAATAACCTCAATACCCTATGTATAAATTATAATGTTTATAGAGGTTTTTTCCAACTTTTACAATGATCCAAGATGTTTCTTCTCCTCTATGTTATATTTTTGATACCCCCTTCTAAGTGACTGCAAAGAAGCAGCAAGTTTAGACTTGGAAGTGGTGGGATGAAGTGTATCAATAGTTTGATTTATAAGGAAACTTGTGGCATCTTGAAGCTATTTTAGAGAGTGGGATAGTCACCTGCACTAAACACGTTGGGTGGAAGACTCTCATTACCACTGTTGTGGGTACGACCAAGCATCAAAGAAGATTTGGAGATTGAATCAATGTATCAACTAAGGCTTCTTTTCATGTTGTGTTTTCTTGACCACAATTTGTCAAGTTTCACACACTCCCATTTAGTGATGTGACGCTGAGCTATGTGAGGTTTGCCCAAATTGAGTGAGATTTTTTCAGCTTTTAGGATTTACTTGGGTGGCCCACGGCTTTGGGAAGTCTTGTGAAGTTTGCGGTACTTGTGATCAAATAGATGTGTTACCACACGTGCTCTCATTTCTCTAGCTCTACACATTCAACCACGGCCAGTGACGACGGTCCATTAATACTGTTTTCATTGATGTCAAAGAGTATTCTGCTTATTATGCTGTAAATACCATTCTTGTTGACTCCAAAATCTGTTCTTCCATACACCTGAGCAAATAATTGCTATTACCACAATCGTTCTCTTATACAATTGTTGCGACAACATTACCGAACCTTTCCACTCTCAATCAACAGGACATGACTATCATGTCATATGACACTAGGAATCTAGTTCAGGGTCCTCGACTAACTACAATAACGTAACAGCATCAAAACCATCACCCAACTACCACCTTGTTTAGTAGATTGGACTCCAGCTTGGTAAGCTTGGCTATAAACAAGCCACTTGTGTGGGATGTCACAGGATCGAAACGTAATGTGTGAGGCAAACCACCAGGTCGACATGGCCACTGTCTTGCGGGCTCCACTTCTTGCAACTCTAAACGAACAGAATGTAGGCGGTATCACACAGTTAGTGAAGTGGCCGAAGATAGGACTCAGCTGCAATAATTCTCATCTACTCTACTCATACACTGCGTAGCCTTAATATTGCACATTGACTACTAATATACCAGCTTATAGGAAACTGGAAGAATACCTGCATCATCGTGAGATGCCAGAAATCTCTCCACCACACCTTCGTTCTGGTCCCTCGTGAAGCTGTAAGTCAAAAATACCAAGCATTAGTTTACAAACACAACACATGTTATGGGTAACAAGGATCGTCTCCAAAATCGGTACTCCATTCTGGAATCGTCCTTTTAGCAGTACACAGAGAGTGACGGTACCAGGTATCGGCTGCTGCAAAAATGGTAATAAGCATTGAAACACATTTTTCACACGGGTCTGGAACAAAACTCATTGCATCCTGAATAAAGTGCGCGATGTTGAGACGATGCACCTGCAAGTGCTGTATACAAGTGTGCCTCCAGGGTTAAGTAGTCTGAACCCATTGCTCAAGAGACGCAGCTGCACATCCCAAGCCATACAGAAGACCATATTCTTGAGATGGAATAATAAATCCATGATAGCAGGTTCAACGGCATAGTCGTCCACGTGTACAGGAAACAGAATCACGCCCGCTTTGCACGAACCAGATTGAAACTAAAAGCATCCATCAAAAAAAGGAGTGCGCGCTCTTTTTCATTAACGCATAATCGCTACAACGTAGCCGAATCATTTGCCTTTACCTGGAGAGATGTAATGGAAGCGATTCGCTCTTCATTTAGGAACCGCCTCTCAAATGTATCCCAACCCCATTCGTTGTATTTAACGATGTGTCTCAATGAACCATCATGGGTGCACTCTGCATCCACTAACACCTACTTTGACAGAGATGAGTGAAAGAACAAAACAAGAGACCAGTAATCAAGCCGTGCAGGGCAACAGAAATATACTTAACTCCTGCAGGTGAACTCTTCAGAAAAGAGCAAGGATGACCATTAAATACCAGATATATTCACGCTCATTAAACAAGAGTCTTAACCCATAGCAACCGGAAGTAGCCAAAACGGGTAAAATCACCTCAAAAGACAAGTGAGAAGGGGGTGTTACCTTGTCATAACCAGAAAATGAAGCTTCATTAGAGTCCTGACAAACTCGTGCCACATCTGCCACTTTCATGCCCACTACTCCAGCCTCAATACCATAGAAGAAAAGCTCCGGCATCCCGTCCACACCAGTCTGTAAAGGTATTCCAAGATACTTCGCTCTTTTCGCAGATCGCTTTTCTTGTCGTGTCCTTCCAGACCTCCACTCTCCATACACTGTTTTTCTCTCCATCCTTGGATTCTTGTGAAAACCGCCTGCAAGAGGTGCAAGCCGAAATTTAAGACCTTGCCCTGCCAAGGAGCATGGTTCCAGTACAGATGGAGAGTTCTTTCAAAGATCCGTAGAAGTATGAACTAGAGTGAGAATACTGCCTTCAGATTTACTTTGATCCTGTCCAAACGCGTCACGCAACTTCATTAGAAATTTCGCTGTTACTAGTACCATCTCCGATGTCCTCGTCGTCAGAGCGATCATCGCCAGCACTTGCCGAGCATAACTTGCTCCCACCATTCAATGGCAGCAATGAGAAGGTTGTTCCATCTCCCAAGTAGAGGCGAGTTCGTCTTCCAAGTCCGTATTTTAGCAGCATGGTGCGACAGGCAGCGAGACGAGGTCGAGCGATATCCACCGCAGTTAGTGACCCAGAATCTCCTAAAGACTCGGCCATCATACACAGCTTAGCACCTACCAAATCAGCACAGATAATTGAGGTAATTCCGCAAACAGGATGCGAATTATGTCAAGCGACATCGGGAACAAAGAGAAGTTTTCAAATCATCCAAACAATCAAAGGCTATGGCTACGCATGGAACAGAATACATAAGACCATCACCCACCTGGTGCAGCACAAAGGTCAAGCACGTGGTCGCCAGATGATATCTCCAAAGCTGCTACAGCAGCCCCGGAGGCTGCATCCATCCCATACAACTGATCTCCAGAAATAAATTAACAGTTAAAAATAGTAATAACTGTCAGCGGATCGTCAAAAACCATAAAACACATGTTCGAGATTCATTGAAGATGTCCGTAATTCTGGCAAGGAGAAAAGAGACAATAAAAGAGGGCTAGGAGGAGGGAGGAAAAAGAAAAAAAGAAAGAAAAAAGAGACAGACAGACAGACACACAGACACACAGACAAACAACACGTGCAATCACCTTGCCCAGCTGATATGCCTGAGTGCTCGCAATCTGAGCCTGTGGTGGCAAGCTGAAGAAATTGGGAAGCCATGCCAAAGGGGAAAGTTTCAACCCCAGCTCTTCTTCGAGCTCTGGAATATCCAAACTGGTCCGTGGTTGTACTCTGGACCCATCATGAAAAACAGCTAGGGTTCAGAGCTCCGAAACCAATGCAATAAGGAAACGAACTGCCCTTTTCAGAATTACAACACCAGGCGAATCCTAAAACAACGTGCATCGCGGAAACGAGTTTTCATGAGGCGTTCACGGATAGCAATTGTAGTGCCGAGGAGCGCCAATTGAATTCATGGAACACAGAAATCAAAAGAGTGGGTCGTGTACGGAGCAGGAATTGCACCTGATGTAGCGAGGGAGCGTGGCTGCGGCCGCATAGATGGAGGCATCGAGGCCATTCTGCTTGAGAAACGTCAGAAATGCGGGAGGAAGCGTAGAAGGAAGCTGGTCCGCCATGGCGATGGCACGCGAGCAGGCTTGCTGCGCTCTCACGCTGGCCATGGCCGCCGCAGCCATGCCAACAGAGCCCACACGCACAGGCAGAGACACAGAGAGAGAGAGAGAGAGAGAGGGAGAGCGGGGGCAGGAAGAGAGGCGGGAGACACCCAAAACAAACGGGGCAGGAAGGAATGGCTACTCCCCCCCCTCCCCACCTATTTTCTCATTCTATCTTAGACAATATTATGCTAACATTATTTTTTAGATCTAGTTTCTGCAGGATGTAAAATAAACGATAACCAAATCAATCTCTTTACCATATTAAACAAAAAGAAAAATTATAACACACTTATATTTTGTGAAAGAAAGAAAGAAATAAAATATATATAGTTCACAAATTGAACTTCAATACATACATTGTTCGATACATTATTTAAATCTAGAGTTTCACATTGTGGTTGGTAGATTAATTGGATGATGCATAGTATAATTCTAGGGTGTGGATGTGTAGTGTATTTTTATAACGTAGTTCTGCAGATGACTTCGTGGTTCATTGTATAGTTCCTGAACTAGTTAGATTCTCTCAGTTTACTGAAGGTTAAGTTAATGATTCCTGAACTGCAGTTAGATTCTTTCAGTTTACTGGTCTATTTTTGCATTATAATAAATACAACTCATATGGTATGTTGATTTCATATTAATTCATTATTTGAATATTTGATTTTAGTTAAGGTTTTCATCTTTGATCAGAGTGGATCATGAAACAATCAGAAAAGCAAACCGTAGATTTACAGGCCAGAGGTCTTGGCAGGGACCACCACAAGTTAAGTGAATGGTGACATCTGTGCATAGAAATACAGATTGAGAAAGTTGCGCAATGTGATTAGTGCAGTGTTCTGCGCAGCCTTCTCATTCTTGTTTCCTTTTACTTCAGCGGCAAGAGAACTCCACTGCTATTTATCGATTAAAGTAAAATAAGATCTATATGTAGAGAGCAACACCCAAACCCGGAAGGTTTCTATGAGTGTTTTCTTCGAAGTAATTGAAGTGATTCCTTCAACTATTTCAGGCGGGCACACAGGCGGAGTGTTGTTTTTTCATTTTTTTATTTTTTATTTATTTTTTGCAAAATAAAATAAGTGGATTGTTTTAAGCGGTGCATCCCAAAAGAAGAGACGGTAGTACAAGAAAAATATAACGCGATGGGGCGCTTGAAGATAGATGTGGACAAGAAGCGACCAGCTTCGAAGATCAATTCAACGTTTTCGAAACGGAAAGATGGACTAATGAACAAGGCAAAGCAGATGGGTAGCTTGTGCGACGTGGACGTGGCGTTGATAGTATTCTGCCCCAGAGGAGATGATGTGATCGATGTGTCGCACGGGGGCACCATTGATGAAGTGTACCAAAGATATGTGCGTTTCAGGCAGCGCCACAACCGACCACAACAGCTCGTCTACAGGCCCAGGACTGGACCGCGTGGTCATCAAGAAGCACCTGACCCACACCCCGCAGGTAATGTGCACTCCCTCAATCTACCTGGACCGGCACACGATCTGGATGGACCATACGGGCTCTTTCCAGACGCAGCAGCAGGGGGAGGAGGAGAAAGAGGAGGAGGAGACGGAGAAGGCAGAGGTGGAGCAGAACTGCAGGCTGGGGGGATTCCGCTGAGCCCGAATGAGGCGTTCGAGCTGTATCTGAACCTGAAGGCGCAGATGGAGACGGTGAGCCAGTACCTGGACTTGCAGCACCGACAGCAGGTAAACCAGCAGCAGGCTCTCCCTCCTCCTCCTCCTCATCCGTTCCCTCCCATGCAGCAACAACAGCAGCACCTCCCCCAGGATGTCATGGCTCCCCCGCACCACTTCCTCCCCAACCCCCCTCCCTTCAACGCCGACGCCCTGTTCCACAACCCCAATCCCTTTCCCAACTGAACCTCCTCTCGTCTCCCCCACCTCCTCCGTCTCCTTCGTCTCCATCTCCTGCGTCTGGGATTGTGCTGGTATGCATTGTGTAGGCATGCCATTGATTGGTTGGTTTTAGATAGAATACATGTGAACTCTACACAATTTTGTATTAAAACATCCTTTTGGGTTCTACCATTCAACACTCTGTCACTTCATCTTTGAATTCTGGATGCTTATGTTATTTCAGTTCACAAAATTATTCATTGAGGGTATGAAGGATGATATCAGATGGTAAAGTCTATGATGCTGCAACACTATGTTTTACTGCATTTGATTTCGTTTTTTTTTTTTTTTTCAAATGTACTATATTGTGCTGCAAAAAAATAAAAAAATAAACAAAAAATGCATGCGTAATTTAATTCTTTTCCAAATGCATTATACAAGAAAGATAAAGTTATTTTTTGATTTGTTTCAGAATTAAAATTTTAATTATTCGTATTTTTAATTTAAAATTTATTTATTTCACAAATTCAGAATTTGATTTTTTGTAAAAAATTTATTAATTTTACTTATTATTGTAGTATTTTCATTTTGAAGTTTTACAAAAAATTCAGAAAGTAATTAATTTTCAAAAGAATCAATTGTGTAAAAATCATTATTTTTTTAATGATTTTAAATTATTTTAAATTGCTTCATTCCAATGATGTGACGATGCCCAAATATTAATTTTATATTTCAGCATAAATATATAAATAAAAATAATATTTAAAATTATGTAAAAATAAAAATAAGACGCCAAAATGAGTATGCCAATGCACATGAAGCTTATGAAGTTACTCAACTGAAACAATTAAAAAATTATTGCCAAGATTACTGATGCCTTTGTTCTTTCCTCTCTGAACTTCAAATGATGTGCTGCAAAGACTTTCCAAGGAACGAAAAAACTTCTATGAAAAGGTCATAAAACAATTCCATGATTTCTGCATCCAAAAATATTTGGAAATAAAAGTACAGAAAGCTAAATAAACATGATTAAGATCTAAACTACCTCCAAAAGTGTGCATGAACCTCAACGGCCACTAATTTATAAATTTACAACAATCATGCAAACCATTTATCCATGCTACAATCATGCGTGCTTTTTAAGTTGCGTAGACCCTTACTGCCTGGACCCACATCTCTGTTCATGTTAAGCATGTTCCAGCATGGAATGTCACCTTACGCCTTTCTCACTAAGTTCCGCCTTAACGCGTGCGAAGTATGTACTGTCAGGCTGCGTGGCGAAAAAGATTGTAAGTAAAGATCAACCAAAAACGATTATGCTTCCATTAATGAATACAAAAGTAATGCTATAATAAAAGAGCAGCAAGTTCAGCTCATGTAGGAACAGGCAAATAAGATATTTGATATGAAGTGTGACTCACATAACCAAAGTTGGTGGGTCCTCCCCATGTACTTGTCTTGTGATGCACTCCTGACCAGCTGCAAATAAGACCACAAAGATCGCAGTTTTCAATGAATGTAGGCAGCTTTGCACAAACATAACACTAAACGTGATAAGAAAATCAGATTCGTAGGTTTTTTGCCCAAAAACTTTGTATACTACCCGCGACTTCCTATATCATCTTCTCAAGAGACGACAAGCTCTGGTAACTGATAGGTTACATCGCAACACAAGAGTCAAGTTCCTTCCAGACAAAGTAATGACCGAACGTCAACACTAGAGAAGCTGGCATAACAGTCGTGTGAGAAAACATACGTGACAACATCCCTTCTTCCTGTGGTGATTGAGGTGCCCACGCTGAACAGCAATCTGCGATCCCAAGCTATCTTCAAAAGGTTCAACACATCTTCACCTTCTTTGGTATAAGGCAGGTATGCTACTCGCCTGGTGCCCGTGTAAGGACATCCTGGACTTGGATGCTCGGGACCCTGTGAACGTGAGTCTCTTAGAACACGAATTCGATACAACATAGATCCCAGCATGGTCATCCTATAACAAACTCACGATTTAGCCCCAAATTATGCTCACGTGCTGATAAGAGGAAATTCAACCGTGCAGCCAGCGATGCCACGCAAATGACAGTAGGGAAACTCACTTGAATTCCACTTGGAAAGTTGTATTGGATTACAATGACGTCGACACCAGGAAAGCCTTCGAGACCACTTGCGAACTCAGGACTACCAGCACGGATAATGCGCACACTCATTGTCCCGTCAGGTTGAGTTCCAGTTATGACTCCATACGCCATGTTACATATTGGACAGGTGGGGCGAGTCTCGAACCATCGAATGATACAGTCTTTGCAGAACAAATGTCGACACTTGGCCAACATTGCCGCATTCCTCCCCCTTAAATCCATCACGCAAATGGGGCATTCGTTACAGTCTGAGTTCTCCACGTATGGGTGTAGATCTGCCGGATCATAGGCTTCAGAAACTGCCCCAGCCGCGACGGATGGGGCCGGTACAGAATGCGCCTGTAGCAGGGAAGAGACATGAGGAGCACTGGGTGAAGCAGCCGGCACAACCGGAGTCGCCCCTGCTGCTGCCGTTCCGGGAGAGACCACCCGTCTTCGAATTTTACGGGAAAATCCTGTGCTCAGATTCGTCTGTAATCCATCAGCCTCAAACAGGATAGTGTACTTGCGATGATGTATGCGGAGTGATACCCCGCCAGGTGTAGAAGCCTGGAAATATGCATTAGTACTGTTGTGGCCCTGTCCCCAAGCAATCTCGATCTGAGAACTGATCAAGACATCGTAAGCGTGCCATCGCTGAGATTCATCCTCCCACCACTGCCACTCCGCGATCCCTGATTGAGCGTCCACGTTTCTCCTCACCGGCCTTGATTGCTGTGTGTTACGATTTATCTACAACAAGCACCCAGCTCAAAACTCGTCACTTCGCAGTCCGACGCGGGAAAAACGAACATATTGCACAAGAAGACCATCGTTCACAACAAACATAAACCTTCCCAAGGACCCTCTTTACATAACTGAAAAAGATCCGAAAACACCAAAAGCATAACAATGATACTGAGTATAATCATACAAACGACAACAAATAAATAATAATAATAATAATAATCATACACCAGTGTAAAAATTATGGAAAATGCAGGAAAGGTGCTCCAGCGCCGGACTCGTCATCATAGGTCATTATGTTATCAACCTGAGAACTTTCCTGTCACCCTTGAAAAATGTGCTCCAAAATCGACAAACGAAATGCGAATTTCGCAGTCCCCGCACAGCTAAGCCCAAAACCCTAGATCATAAAATGTTGGAGACAACTTTCAACGAGAGAACGAGAGCGAGTGGGGAGATGATGAAGGAGAGAAGTACCTGGCAAGGAGGGATGGATTGAAAGGTAATGGAATGAGTGGGTGCTGAGGGGGATGTAATACAGACGTCAAGGGACGGCTGTTGCACCTGGAAGGACGCTTCAATAGAATCAGAAAGTACGGAATTATAAGGCTTCCAGAGCATTGCATCGGTCAACCATTCCCAGACGGCCATTGCCAAATGGGACGATGGCACCGGTGAAAGGCAAGCCCCAAAAGAAGAACAACCACAACCACGATTGCAACCCACTGAGGGAGAGGAGGGTGGGATACAGAGGAGGAAAAGATGGGTGCAGATGAGCGTGGGAGAGGAACAGACAGAGAGAGACAGAAGAAGAAGAAGCAGAAGAAGTATGAGGGGGCGAAGGGGGGGAGGGAGTAAGAGAGGAGCGTAAGCAGGAAGGAAGCGAGCTCAAGAAGCGAAGGATTCTAGGAAGCCAACGATGCCGGCAGGGTTCCTCCTCCAAGCCAAGGCAAAGCAAAGCCAACGAACGCCAGCGGCCAAAAGAAAAGTGTCGGCATCACAGATGGGGCGCGTCGACCAGCGCGGACCCGACGTCCTCCACATCCCCCCCCCCATGGGAAACGTGCTTTCAAAGCCATGTGCCTGCCTGTGATGGCGCGTGCAACCTCCCCCCGCACAAACGAACGAACAGACGGACGTCCTCATCCGTCTCCTCTCACCCACATCCCTTCCCTCATTGCTCAATCTAGTGGCCAAACTGTAAGAAATCCCCATTCTACTTATCTCATACAAGCACATCGTTCATATGGGATTAGAAGTGAAACCCAAACAGTCATAGTGCAATCATTGCCATTGCCACCATGTACCCCACCTATCACTCAAATTGTACTTGTGAAGACAGCTTTTATTCTTCTTACATTTGTTTTCTATTCCAAAACTCTCCTCAAAATCAATACCAATGAGTTATATATACACACACATCAAAAATTCAATAGAAAGACACCTTAATAAATTATCATATTTATGTATATGATATTTATATATGATTAATTATCACTAATTACATGTTAAGATATTAAGATCACATGATCTCTATTCATTACTTCAAAGCATACTTACCTCTAATCTCAAAAGTAGCATCTCAAAGTAAAAACACAAGTTTTCCAAAATTATTCTTTGAACTAATCTTAATTTAAAAATTAGAAAACTTGGATGGATTTGGTATCTATATGTATCTAAACAAAAATCAAGTTATATTGCAACTTAGTCAAAATGCTTAGAATCTAAGTGAACTTTTTATTAAGAAAATTAGCTTGTAATGCCAATCTTAATATGGTACTAACTTGCTAATATATATATATATATATATATATATATATGTTAATAACTTATCATAGATATTAATTTATATGTTTTTTTCAAAAAATAATTCATACATGTATAATTATCAATAAAAATATATTTAAAAAATAAATATTTAAATATTTAAAAGAAATCAAATTTCTAATGACTAACATAAAGAAATTAAAATTTATGTACAAAGATAAAAGTACAATAAAATAAATTGACAAAAATAAAAAAAAATACGTCAATTTTTTTTCAATATAAACTCATTAAGAAGAAGGTTATTATTTATTTATTTACTTATTTATTTATTTTTTAAAATGATATAAGATTCGTAAGACAAAATTAGAGTTGTAAGACACCTCTCTATGCTAGCATTTAAAGCCTAAATCAAATATTTATAAAGCACTTGTAGCCAAATAAAAAATCCAATGATACTTAAAAATCCAATTAGTTGATTCTACTTCTATCTATTTAATTGATATAGATTTTTGTGACACTACCTCATCTTTTAAAATATATTTTTTTAAAATAATTAAATAAATATAAATCTATTTAAAAAAATTAGGTTATTTTTATAATTCTATAAAATAAAAAATATATAAGATGGTTACTAGCAAAAATTCTAACCTATATTTTGCATAAAAGTGAGTGATAGGATTTTTGAGCTAATGATAGTATTATATTCTTTGGGAATAGATTATCAAATTATTTTATTATTTTTCATATATTTATATCTATTTAAAATAAAAAAGATATAGTAATTGTCTTTATTAATATTATCAAATACAAAAAATTCTTTTAAAACTATAACACTAAATATATTATATTTTATTATCCATATGAAATAAAATATGAGTTCTTTTATAAATCATAAGATTATTTTTTGAATTATGAACATCATAACAATCAAAGTAATTTTTTGCAATCTTGCAAATAATATATTTTGAAATGAATCTTCTAGTTACTTGTTTATTTTATTTTTCTTCAATATATATATATATATATATATATATATATCCATAATTTATATTTTTTATTATAAAAATTTATTTATCTTTAATTATTATTTTTTTATTAAAAATAATAAATTAATTTCAATAATTATTAAAAATTTAAATAGATCCTATAAGCACTTACTAGTATCAACATGAAATCAATGTATAGAATATCCTAGTTGGTTTTAATACAATCTATAATAAATATTAATACTATTTCAATAATAAGAAATAAATAGAAATAAGTAGAAATTTGTAGAAATGTATTGTGTAAATTTAATATTTTTTAGAACATTGCAAAAAACATTTATACATAGTCAAATAATATATATATATATATATATATATATATATATATATCGAGAGAGAGAGAGAGAGAGAGAGAGAGAGAGATGATAAGTAGCCTTAGATACTTATTTAGAAGTATTTTTACTTTTAAAAAGCCATAGTAGAAGTAGCTTTTAGCTAAGACATTTAGATTGCAAGATTGGTGGTCATTAAAAAGCTTCAAGATGATTTTCTTAGTAATTAGGAATATAGAAATTAGACTAAGATCATCCTTGATCTGATTAATAATTTTTTTATATTATACTTTTTTTTTGAAGTTCTCTAATTTTTCTATATATGACAATTGTAATTCTAACTTTTTATTCTAATACATGTATATATATATATATATATATATATATATTCTTAGTTTTTAGTTATATTTAGATAAATAATTATATTTTTTGAATAATTTTATATGATTAATATATATTAAAATGATTTTTTTCTATTTTAATAAAATTTTAGAATATATTTTTAAAAATTAATTTAAAACTTAGAAAAATATTTTCTTCTATATTCATAATTTTTTAATAATATTTATTATTTATTTAATTCTTTTCTTATATTTGATACAAATTTATTAAATATCTATAAATTCTTTAGTTTTTGTCATTGCTTTATTGAATTATAGATCTTCTACTTATTTTCTTCAAGAAAAAATTACTAAATGTCATAAAATAGCATTGATATAAAAAAACCAAATATATATATAAGCCATAAATAGATAATTTTTATTATTTAAGAATGTTATCTATGAAATTTAAATAATATAAGTAATTTAAAGTTGTTATAAGAAACTTCTAATATTTATTGTTATAAATCTCAAATTAATATTTTCATTGAAAATTTATCATGTTACTAATATATATATATATATATATATATATATATATATATATTCTTTGACTATGTATAAGAATATTTTTATAAGCTATAAAACTAAAATAATAATCTATTTTTTTATTTACATAAGATTAAATAACATTGACATAGAGATTATAGTATAATTTAAAAAAATATAAGAAATATTGCTATGTTATTAAAATAGATACTAATATATTTTTTTTTTATTTATAACCTTATCTAAGAAAAAATTTAAATTTTGACACTCCCATTTTACTATTGGTCAAAAGCTTTTAAACCTAATATCTTTTTTAATATGTAATGTCTATTCTTTACTAATGCCTTTGGCAAAAAATCAACATGCATGTCCTCTATTTCATGATACTTCATATCAATCACTTCTATTTTAATCTTCTTTCTTATGAAGTGATATTGAATGTCAATATGCTTGGTCTTTGAATGATGCTTTAGATTCTTTGTAATTACAAGACATCCTTGATTATTATACTCCATTAAAGTTGCTTCTATTTATACTAGTTTAATGTCCTCCAAAAATTATCTTATTCATATTATCTCCATTATAATATGGCTTATTGTCATATATGTTGCTTCCATTGTTGACCTTGCAATTACTTGTTGTTTCTTACAATTTGATGAAATAGCTCTCACTCTAACAAAATAAACATATTTTATTATTGACCTTTTATCATTTGTATCTCCAGTGTAATCAACATCAAAATAACCATGCAAAGTAATGTTATTACCTTCAAGGCATAATTTGAAATGCAAAGTCCCTTTTAAGTAACTCATGATCCTTTTGATGGTTGCCTAATGGATTGGTCCAGCCTTTAATATGTGTTAACTTACAACACTCACTACATATGTAAGATCCATTCTTGTGTCAATTATTGCATACATAAGTGAGTCTACTACCGATTTATATGTAACACCTTGGATTTTACCTTCAACTTTAGCAAACTCTTCATTTTTAAGCTTCATCAACTTCAAATTGGCCTCTAAAGGTGTATCTATAGACTTACATTCATTCATATTGAATCATTTCAACACCTCTTCAATATACTTGCTTTGGCTCATTGTAATGATCTTCTTTACACAATCTCTCATAAATTCTACTCCTAAAAAATAATAAAGTTTTTTCAAATTACTTATCTTATACTTTTTTTTTAACTTTTCTTTCAATTAATCCATCATCTTCAAGGTATTGGTTGTGATGATTAAATCATCAATATAAAAGATAACAATCAATATAAATTTATTTGATTGCATCACATACATAGAATGATAAGTCTTACTTCTTTCAAATCCTTCATTCGCAAGAAATGTGTCAATATATTGATACTATATTCTTAGTAATTCCTTGAGTCGATACAAAGATTTCTTTAATTTATACATAAGACATTGTTTGCCTTCTTTAACAAATCATTGATGTTGATTTGAATAAATATCATCTTCTAATCTTCTAATTAAGAAAGCCATCTTCACATCTATTTGATACATTTTTAAGTCCATTGCTATCTCAATTGCTACAATAATTATAATAGTAGTGAATTTGGCCATGAGAGCTAATTTTTCATTAAAATCAATATCAACAACTCATATATAGCTTTTTGCAACGAATCTAGCCTTGTATCTCATAATATTATCTATTGCATCTTTCTTGATTCTAAACACCCATTTACAACCAATCGAAGATCAATTCGGTTGAAGTAGAGTCATCTTCCATATTTCATTATCCATGACTGATTTGTACTCTCCTTTTATGAGATTTTTTTACTTCATAGCATTTGTGAACTTCATTGCATCATACAAATTCAATGGATTAGCAAAGAGTGCAATATTGGCATATGTCACAAACAAACATACTTACTCTAATATTTATCTATATAATTAACTATAAATAAATAAAAGTAGATTTATTTCATAATATTTTCTAAAAAAACTTCTGAAAAGCTTCATAGATGCTACTTTGACTTTACATATATTTATAGTTAATTGATAGGTTAGAAATTTAGTCAACAAGTTAATTACATATCAGTAGCTTATAAAATAAGCTAATTATA